AAACATGCAATCAAGATGCATTGATAATTACTGGTGATTGGAATACAAAAGTTGGAAACAAAGAAGGATCAGTAGTTAGAAAATATGGCCTTGGTGACAGAAAAAATGCCAGAGATGGCATGATAGAATTTTGGAAGACCAACGACTTCTTCATTGCAAAACCTTTTTTCAACAACATGAACAGCAACTATACACGTGAACCTTGCCAGATGGAATACACAGGAATCAAATCGTCTACATCAGTGGAAAGACGATGGAGAAGCTCAACATCATTTGTATGCGCAAAATATTGAACAATGCAGGAAGCACCAAAAGAAGAATGGAAGGAATACACAGAGTCACTGTACCAAAAAGAAATGGTCAACGTTCAACCATTTCAGGAGGCAGCATATGATCAAGCACTGATGGTATTGAAGGAACAAGTCCAAGCTGCACTGAAGGCACTGGTGAAAGATGAGGCTCCAGGAATTGACAGAATACCAAGTGAGATATTTCAACAAATGGACACAACGCTGGAAATGCTAACGCATCTATGCCAAGAAATTTGGAAAACAGCTACCTGTTCAAACGGCTGGAAGAGATCCATATTTTTGCCCATTCCAAAGAAAGGTGATCCAACAGAACGTGAAAATTATTGAATAATATCATTAGTATCACACTCAAGTAAAATTTTGCTGAAGATAATTCAAAAACAGTTGCAGCAGTACATCGACAGGGAGGTGCCAGAAATTCAAGCCAGATTCAGAAGAGGACATGAAATGAGGGATATCATTGCTGAGGTCAGATAGATCTTGGCTGAGAATAGAGAATACCAGAAAGATGTTTACCTGTGTTTTATTGACTATGCAAAGGCATTTGACTGTGTGGATCATAAACTATGGATAACACTGCGAAAAATGGGAATTCCAGAACACTTAATTGTGCTCATGCAGAACCTGTAGGTAGACCAGGAGGCAGTCACTGAAGCAGAGCAAGGGGATACTGCATGGTTTAAAATCAGGAAATGTGTGCGTCAGGGTTGTATCCTTTTACCATACTCATTCAATCTATATGCTGAGCAAATAATATGATAAAATGGACTAAATGAAGAAGAACATGGTATCAGGATTGGTGGAAGGCTCATTAACCATCTGTGTTATGCAGGTGACACAACCGTGCTTGCTGGAAGGGAAGAGGACTTGAAGCACTTAGTGATGAAGACCAAACATCACAGCCTTTAGCATGGATTGCACCTCAACATAAAGAAAACAAAAATCCTCACACCTGGGCCAATAAGCAACATCCTGATAAATGGAGAAAAGATTGAAGATGCAAGGATTTCATTTTACTTGAATCCACAATCAATGCCCATGGAAGCAGCAGTTACAAAATCAAATGACACACTGCATTGAGCAAATCTGCTGCAAAAGTCCTCTTTGAAAGTGTTAAAAAACAAAGACGTCACCTTGAGGACTAAGGTGGGCCTGACCCAAGCCATGGTGTTTTCAGTCACCTCATACGCATGTGAAAGCTGGAAAATGAATAAGAAAGACCAAAGAAGAATTGATTCATTTCAGTTACGGTATTGGTGAAGAATACTGAATATACCATGGACTGTTAGAAGAATGAACAAATCTGTCTTGGAAGAAATACAGCCAGAATGCTCCTTAGAAGCTAGGATGGCAAGACTTTGTCTCACCTACTTTGGACATGTTATCCGGAGGAATCAGTCCCGGGAGACGGACATCATGCTTAGTAAGCAAAAAAGAGGAAGACCGTCAACAAGACGGACTGACACAGTGGCTGCAACAATGGGCTCAAACATATCAGTGATTGTGAGGATGGTGCAGGACCAGGCAGTGTTTCATTTTGTTGTATAGAGTTGCTATGAGTCAGAACAGACTTGACAGCCCCTAACAACAACAACTGGAATAGCTTGGGTCCTGCCCAGAAACTGTGCAAGGAGCCAGGTGATTTCTCTTCTAGCCTTAAAAGTATGTGCATTCAATTCAACTGAGGCAGGATTCCTAGAGTCCCTGCTTCTTGTTAGGCCCTATGCTAAGCAGCAGAAGACAGAAGATGAGGTCACCACCCTAGGGAGGGATCACTCTGCCCCTCCCCTTAAAGGGGGATGAGAAATGAACTGACATTTAAGTTAGGTGCTTTATGTCTAATATACAAGCAACACCTAGCATGAGAAGTCAGAGCTAAGTTTGAAGACCAGCTCTGCCCTTTACAAGCCGAATGAACTTGGGCACATGACTTCACCTGCTGAGCCTCACATTCCTCATCAGGAAGTTGGAAAGAATAATATCCACATTACAGGATGCTTGTGAGAGTTAGAGAGTATACGTAAAGCACCTGGCACAGTGCCTGGCCTATTGTAGGTGCTTGGTAAATGGTAGCAGTAACTACTATTATTTCAGGTAGTTGACCTTGAAAAGTAGGTATTATCTATGTTGTCAAACAAGGAAACTAAGGCTCAGAGATATTAAGTGACTTGCCCAAGGTCACACAGCTAGGAAGTGCCAGCTATGGCCTCCCTCCCAGGAATCCTATAATCAGAGAAAAGCAGAGCCAGGAGGCATCATCCTGCTTCACAGTGGAGAACCAGAGGCCCAGAGAGGCCCTGCGTCTTTCCCACAGACTCACAGCAAGGCCAGAGATGAACTTGGTTCTCACATGCTTTGTTGAAATCCACAGGCCATGCCCTTGGTCTCTGAGAGAAAGCGAATCCTCAGGGAGATCCAGAGAGCTGGTATGGGCATGGCTGTACCTTAGAAGCCATGCTCTTGCCATTGTTCTATCCCCAAAGTATCTCAAATGAAGAGGCAGCCCCCTACCTATCTTCTCCCCCTCTGGGCTCCCCTCGTCACTTATCCCATCAATTACCAAGCATCCACTGTGAACACTTTGTGGAGGACATGGGGGTAGATGACCTGGGACTTACTCTGGAAATCTTCCTGCAGGATCTTCTGATACTTTGGAGGGCGTCCAATCCTGGAGAGAGAGGGACAAGGTCCATGGCAGGGTATCAATGCCTGGTCTTGCCCAACAAGATAGGACCCTGAGCCGAGGGTAGCCCGGACCCTACTCCCTGCCCTCCGCACCGGCCATGATGACGGCGCTTCTTCCTCGGGGAGAAGCCAGAGAGGTTCCTCTTATGGGCCGAGGCCTCTGAGTCAGAGAGCTCCGCTTTTAGCCGGCTCTGGTTCCTCTCAGCCAGTGGGCAGCCTGACAGGCAATGGTGAGCTGTGAACTTGCCTGTGACGTGGCCAGAACCATCACAACCAGGAGTAGGGCACTTCCTGGAGAAGAACAATTCATCAGTTGGGCTGGATGCACTTGTCCCCACTGAGCCCTCCTTCCCCAACCCTGGTCCCACTCAGAATGTCTTGGTGAACCCTGATCAGCTGGCACAAAGTAGATGTCAAACAGACCCTCCCTAAACAATACCCTGAGGGAGACCTTCACTCACCGATGATGAAAGCTGTACTTGGAGGTCCTAGTGTGTGGCAGGCTCTTATAGCCGAGAACGGGACAGCCTCCAGGGGAGGCAGAGCTGGGCTCTCTGGGTCCTGGAGAAGCAGGAAGAAAAGTCACCTCCTAAGCATATGCTCCCAATGAGCCTGCCCCTTCATACCACAATACCCCAACCTGACAACTAGGGGAGACAGAAGCTCTCCTAGGGTGAGGAGGATGGGATGTGCCAGAACTCACTATGGGCTCTGGGTTCTTGGGGTGGGGAGAATAGAGGGCAAGGAAGGAAGTTTCTAAGGGGAAGATCAGCACCAGAATTAGTTCTCCAGCTACAGGGGTCCTGTGCTAGGCTGTGCACCATTTCCTGCTACTAGATATCTGCCTCTCTTTTAGGAATGTGGGCTTGGCTCTCATATGCAGGCCATCCCCTTGGTCTCTGAGAGAGAGAGAATCCTCTGAGAGATCAACCCAAAGCTGGTAAGAGCACAGCTGCACCTTAGAAGCCACATCAGGCAGATTCATGTTATTCTCTGGGTTTGTTTTCCCACTTTCATTCCCAAAACTTTGTTAACTTGTTTTTAGGCTCTGTCCGCGCTTGGAGGAGAACATCAGAGAAGGATCAACACCCCATATGAGACAAACGTGGCGGCAGGAGGGAAATAAGGGGAATCCTTAGGGTGAGAACTGGGATTGAACAGTCCAGTAATGCGAACCCTAATCCCTGCCTATGCAGAGGGCCAGAATTTATTTAAGGGAGCCAGCATTTCCTAGCAAACACAATGCACGGTCTGTGTGGCTCTGCTAGATGCTGAGAGAACTCCCTGGCGTATAACTACTTCCTAAGCATATGTTCTCAATGAGCTTGCCCCTTCACACCTCGATCCCCCGAACCCAACAATTGGGGGAGACAGAAGCTTCCTTAGGGGGAGGAGCATGGGGTGTGCCAGAGCTCACTGCGGGCCCTCTGTCAGACCTGGGCATGGTGGTCAGAGCCCCCTGGGCAAGCTATAGGAAGGGAGAGTGATCAGTGCTAGGGAGGGGAGCGGGTGCTAGACCTCAGTGGGAAAGGGTCAGAGTGCCCTAGGGGTACACACGGAGAGGAGGCTGCAGGGGATGTCCGGTCTTGGAGCACCAGCCCGCAGGGTGGATGTCTGGGTGGTCCGCATCAATCCAGAAGTCATAGGTATGGCTCCAGCCATCAAAGTGGAGCTGAGAAGGAAAGGCCCTTGGAGGTCAAGTGTTCCTCGTGAAGCCCAGCTCAGCCGGGAGCACCCTCAGGCTCCAGGAGGCTCTGCCATCCCTGGGGCCTGTGAGAAGCAGGATCCTGGATTGGAAGAACCAAGGGGCCCACCTCACAATAATCCCTCTCAGCCACTACATTTTCTAAGGGTTTCACTTATTAAGTTACTGGCATCTCCCATCAATTCTTGAGTAGGGTAAGGATTATTTGCCCCATTTTATAGATGTGAAAGTTAAGGCTCAGAGAGGGTAAATGATTTGCCTATGCCCACAAAGGTCAGTCAGGGATGAGGCTAGCACAAGATCAAGATCTTCAGCCTCCAGTTTAAAGCTCTTTTCCTCACAGATGTGCAGCCTCCCTTTTGTCTGCCTCATGCTAGTCCTTCCTCTCTAACAAGTCTACGAGCTTTCTTCCCAACTGGTCTGTCCACTCCTCCTGCCCTAGGGTCCCAGGGCCACCTTTATCCGGTGATCCTCCACGTCCTCCACGCTGGCCACACGAATCAGGGCTGGGTTCCTGCGGTCCACGGCCTCTAGCTTCATGTTGACCAGGAAGCTGTGGGGAGGTCGCTGCAGGGAAACAGTTGTCTTCAGGCCAATGCCCAGATCAAAAGGGGAGAAGCCCAAGTGTTCTGCCTGGGGAAACTGTGGCCTGCCCAAACTGGGAGGCCAGGGTCCCATCCTGGCTGCCTCAGTGTACCACGTCTTCCGGAGCTCAGCTCTAGGGGCAGAGAGAGCTGACTCACCACCTTGAAGGCCCAAGCAGGCACAGCAGAAGCCCTGGTTTCTTCCAGATACTTCTCCCAACAGAAGCTATCAGGGTCTGGGTAGTCTGGAGGAAAGGATGAAAATAATGTCAAGCCACTCAGGTGCTACTGTGCTGCTGGGGGAGCTCTGTGCCTCCAAGGAAGACCAGGAGCAAGGAAGGGCAGAGGCCCTTGGAGTACTCTCCCCCTTCCCATCACCACAGCCAGCTCCTTGCACTGGGCTCCTGAGGCACACTAATCAGAGATGAGCAGCATCAGCACCCCAACAGTTCACAGGGCTGTCTGGCTCCCATTACCCTTCTTGCTCCCACTCCAGCCCTAGCCCCATCTAAGCCTATTATTCTGGAGTCAGTGTAACACTCCTGTAGGGAAGGATACACCTTTCTTAGCTGTGGACTCCCGGCTTCCTTGCTGAAGTGGTCATCTAAATCTCTTCCCCTAAACCTCAGTGGGGCCAGGGTTTGACAGGACTCTCCTAAAATAATCCCTCAATATATTAGGGGTTCTCATCTCCAGGGCAAAGAAGCTGAGGCTCCAGCAGATACTTGTCCCCTCATCCTAACTCTAAACCCACAGGTAATGAAGTATCGGTAAGGGATCAGGGGAGAGGGATGGTGGGGCCAGGCTTGGAAAAGGGCATCTGCTCAGGCTGCACAGTCACCTTGTGGAGGGGTGAGGGGCTTCCCTTGCTTCTGGCACCAGCCCACCGGGTGGATGTAAGGGCTGCTGGGATCACACCTGAAACCCAAGAATACCTCACTGTCCCAGGTGAAACTTTGAGGGTCTGGGCCTGTCATCCTATGACAGTTAGACTGAGATGACTGATAAGAAAGTTAGAAAATTCCAGCATTAACTGAAAACTCTGATACCACCATAATATCTAAGGGAAACTCAAGAGTCAGAGGGGTTTGCTCATCTTAACCTTGCTATTTTTAGATGAAACATTTAATATTAAGTTGTGTTTCTTACGATATAGATCAAATCCATAGGACAGTTGACTATGCCCCCATCTCCCCCCAAGCAAGATACGAACGTCAGGACTGCGCTAGGGCCACACAGTGTCTAAGGTTTGAAAGTAGCTGCCCTGCCCCTGCCATCCCTCACCCCCCCAGCTCAAGTCTGGGCCCTCTCACTACCAGTAGTCGTAAGTATCGTCCCAGTTGTCAAAGTGCACTAGAAAGCGGCTGTCCACCACATCGGTTACGCTGGCCACACAGATGAGGGATGGGTTCATGCGGTCGACAGCCTCCAGCTTCATGCCCACCTGGAAGCCCAGGGGCGGGGAACTCTGGGGGTAAGAAGAGGGGCTGCAACTCGAAAGATTAGACAGGAACCTTAAGGGGCAGTAAGTTATGTTAATGGGGGAGAAACAACTTGGAAAAGGAGGGTGAGAATGGTTGCACAACTCGAAGAATGTAATAATGTCACTGAATTGTACGTGTACAAACTGTTGAATTGGTGTGTGTTTTGCTGTGTATATTCTCAACAATAACAACAAAATAAAATTGTAAAGTTATATAAATAAAATTTCAAAAAAAAGAAGAGGGGCTGCTACAGCCAGTGCCAGGCTGGCTAATGCTGGCCCAGAGCTCATCGGCAAAGGAAGGAGTTGTGTACCAGCCATGACTGGGGGAAGGGGTGGGGAGTAGGGGAGGAGGGAGGTGAGAATAGGCTGGGAAAAGAGGGTCCCTTCAGGGCAGGATCATAATCCCGAGCCACTCAGAAACTTATGGCCACCAAGGTGAACTCCGAGGAAGCCTTACTTGTGACAAAGAAAAGCAACTGGCAGAAAGATATTCGTTTACCCAGAGTCTGGCAGACCAAGCACAAGTCTTCCCCCGCCTAGACAAGTCTGGTCTAGCCTGGGCTGAGGCAATCAGGTCAATAGTGGGTGGTGGGGAAGGAAGAGGCCAATGTGTCAGTAGCGCAGGGGGAGGAGACAAGTGATAACTGGGCACCTTCATGTACCAGGCATAAGCTTCAAGAAACATCATCTTACTTGAACTTTATAACAACACTATGAGACAGGTGTTATCACCACCATTTTATAAGTTAATCAACTTGCCCAGGACCACACGTTAGTCATTGGTACAGCCAGGATTTGAACAGTTTGACTTGTAAGTCTGTATTCCCTGTCACACCAGTGGGTGGAACCCCACCAGCCACCTGGGAACCTACAAGTGTGACGTTTGAGGTGGGGAAGTGATTGCCCCTGCCTCAACAGCGTGGTGGAGTCCCTGGCCTGAGGGGGCGGTGGACTTCCGATATGTTAATATTTCTAATGTGGGATACCTGAACTGCTGGGAAAAGCTGCCAGCTGTCTTGAACAGAGAAAGACAAGAGGTGAGCTATTGGGAACGAAAGGAGGAGCTTCAGTGTTGGTCAGGAGGACAGAGAAAGACGCTTCCAGAATAGAGGCTTTGACCTTATACCACAGAATGGCAGAACAAACCAAAGCAAGAATATGTGAACAATGACATCTCCGTGCCAGGCTGAGAGATTGGCCCAGGGGTTCTGAGGAGATATGCTGAGGAGAGGATTTCTGCAGTAGGGAAGGAAGGAGGAACTGGGGAAAAACCTACAACCAGCTTTGCCCCTGTGGCCCTTGCCCCTGCCTAGCTGTGCTCCCATTTGATTCGAGAGACCATAACAAAATTGAGAGCACCAATAGATGAGCTCCCGTCTGATGAGTAAGACACCCTGGTCCAGGCTGGCTGCAGTGACTCAGTCCCATGGGGTAGATGTCACTCTCGCTCAGGGGCACTCACGTGGCTCTGGCTCACAAACAGGTGCTTGGGGGCAGCCTGACCTCTTGTGCTGCGCAGGTACTGGCTCCAGCTGAACTCCTCCTCCTTGTAACCTAGGCCCCTCGGGGGGACAAACAGAGCGCCGTGCAGACAGAGGGCACCCCACACTGAAGCAGTAGAATCAGGCAGGCCTGAGGACCCTACAACCCCTCAAGAGCCTTCCCAAAAACCCCCTGCAGATGCAGGACATGACCTGGGTGGACACTCAAAGGGCAGTGCCAAAGCAGAAGCCCTGGGACTTCTGGTCAATGTGGTCCTAGGGCAGAGTCCTATCAGGATACAGTGAAGAACAGGCTGGTTTTGGATTGGGCAACAGAGGTCAGAAAACAGAGCTGGAAGGAGGGGGACCAAGGACAGGATCTGAGGTCTCACTGACTCACCATGACGAACTCCAGCTAGGCCTTACCTTTAGGGGGCTGCAGCTTGTGCCCAGTCTTCTCAAACCAGCCAGCAGGGTGAATGTCAGGGGAGTTGGCATTGATCCAGAAGTCATGGCACTCAGAATATCCATCAAAGTGCAGACGTAGGCGGTAGCCACACACCTGGCCCCATGACGGGGAATCACAAGGACTCCAGCGTCAGCAGACACCCCACTCCCTACTCCTCACCTCTCCTGGCCCAGCCTGGTGGTCTGAGGGGCTCTAAAGCTAGCAGGCTCCCCATCTCCACCTTTCTTCACTCCCAGAAACTACCATAGATGTTCCAATGCTCAGCTCACCTCAGCCACAGTGAGGATGAAGTACATGGACGGGTGTTGAGGGTCAATGCCTTCCAACTTCATGCCCGGTTTGAAGCCATTCTTGTTATGAGTGACTGCTTGGTACTGTCAACGCACAGATTGGACAGGACACAGCTTCCATCCAGTCTTATCCTTGCCTAATGGGCTTGGGGTGAAGGAGCTACCTTTAGGCCCCACCCACCTGGCACTGTCAAGGCATTAGCTTATATGGGGACCTTTAATGCAGGGATGCAGAGAGAGGACAGCTCCCAGATCCCTTGAAAAATGGGAGCTGAGTCAGGGGTGGACTTAAGAGCTCCCTCTCTCCCAAGTAATGAAAAGATCAGTGTACAGGGTTGAGTACAAGGCACCAGAATTCAAAAGATGCAGTGATATGGGTGAGCCTGGGTTCCATCTCTGTGTTTCTTCCCATCCTGGAAGCCCCTTACAGTGTGCACTTCTCTACTCTGGGCCCTTAAACAATCTGCCCCCCTTCCATTCTGCCAGTCCATGAGGGATGTCAGACACAGAAAACCCCAGAGGACCTGAGTTTGGTGCTGAGTCCCTGCGCTGGGAAGGCAAGCTCTTCCTAGGTGGAAATTGTCCAACTCACGTCCTGGAAGAGGCTGACAGGGGCAGTGATGGCCTTCTGCTCTTCTAGGTAGGACTCCCATGACCAGCCTTCCTTCTTCTTACCTGACGCCATAGAGAGGAGACAGACACACTGACCCCTGGGCTTCTCCTGATGTACTACTTTCCTTCATTTCCCCTGACCAAGCTCTATCTTTACTGCCGAAACAAGCCTTTGTCTGTAGTCACATGGTGCCCCCTGGCCCCACCCAGTCATGATGGTACCAGACACAGGGGGCTCAGATCTGAGGCTACACCAAACTCTATCAGCTTCAGCCCCACCCCCAGGCTACTATCAGCAGAAGTACTTTGGATTATACAGCAACTCACTGCTGCCTGGAGCCCTGGTGGTGTGGTGGTTAAGAGCTATGGTGAGCTACAGCTGCTAACGAAAATGTCGGCAGTTCCAATCCACCAGCTGCTCTTCGGAAACCCTATGGGGCAGTTCTCCTCTGTCCTACAGTGTCTCTATATGGTCACTATAAGTTGGAATCGACTCAATGGCAACCGGCTTGGTTTTGTTTTGTTAACTGCTGCTCAGAATGATCTGAGGTTACAATTTCAGCCACAGGGGGTCCTGTTCTCTGTCCTTGGACATTTAATACAGGACAAAGCTGAGTGATGGGTCCTGAGCCAGGTGACTTACTCACAATGTCACTGTTATGAATTGAATTGTGTCCTAACCTCTATGCCTATGGTTATAATCCCATTTGGGAATGGGTTGTCTTTGTTATGTTAACAAGACAGGATTAATATAGGGTGTATCTTAAATCAATCTCTTTTGACATATAAAAGAGATTAAAACAAGCAAGCTAAAGAAGCAGAGATGGGGAAAGAGAAATGCCAAGCCACATGAAGATTGCCCAGGAGCAGAAGATCAAAGAGATAAGGACCTTCCTCCAGAGCCAAAAGAGAAAGAAAGCCTTCCCCTAGAGCCAGCACCCTGAATTCGGACTTCTAGCCTCCTAAACTGTGGGAAGATAAATTTATGTTTGTTAAAGCCATCCACTTGTAGTATTTTCATTATAGCAGCACTAGATAACTAAGACCTCCACCTAAGCTCACAGGGAAAGAGCAGGATAAAAAGAAGTGAGAGGGAAAATAGAGAAAGAAAGAAAATGGGAGCGGGGACACACAGAGATTAAAAAACCCACTCTTTTTCAATTCTTCTTACCCTGAACATTTATAGGTCCATAGAGATGCAAATGCACATATGTGCACTTGCTGTGTCCACAGAGTAAACAGACTGATTCCACAGCCCTCCTGGACACTCACACTCTGTGCAGGCATGTGCATGTGTGCACGCGCACAGACATACTTGTATGCATACACTATTATCAGTGCCCTATAGCCCAGGTCCTGCCCATATCTCGGAGTCTCAGGGTCCTGGGGAGGGGGAGACGAAGTCCCCTGTAGGACCTTCAGTTTAGCCTGAGATGGAGGCTGTGATGGTTAAGATTGTACGTCAACTTGGCTAGGCCATGATTCTCAGTGTTTTAGCAGTTGTGTAATGTAGTGATCACTTCCCTGTTGAAATCTGATATGTGATCACCCCCATGATGGAATCTGCTGAGTGGTACTGGCAGGGGCGGGGCCTGTGGCAGCTCACTGCTCCCTCAGCTTCATCTCTCTGCCTTCCTCTGGTTACTTTCTGCCTGTTCACCTTGCCAAAGTTTTTGGCTTGTCCCAGACTCAGCAGCTGCCTCTTGCTGTCTCACCTCCGGTTCTTGGGACATCAGCTAGCAGCTTACCTGTCAATCTTGGAATTCGTTGATCTTCACAGCCTGCGAGCAAGAGTCCTGTTCCCTGACCTGCTGATCCTGGGTTGGCCAGCCCCTGCAGCTACCTGAATCAGGAGAAACCTTGCGGTCTTGTCTGCTGATCTTGGAATTCATTGACCTTCATAGCCTGTGAGTGGGAGCCCTGCTCTCCAACCTGCTGACCCTGGGTTCTCCAGCTTCTGCAGCTCCGTGAATTGGGAAATGCCTCTACCCTGATCCATGGACTTGGGATGTTTTAGCCTCTACAATCACGTGAGCTGTTTCCTTGATATAAATCTCTCTATATGTATACTTATATGCTTTACTGGTTTTGCTTCTCTACAGAACCCAGCCTAAGACATTTGGTACTGAGAGAGTGGGGTGCTGCTCTAACAGATACCTAAAATGTGGAAGCGGTTTTGAAATTGTGAATAGATAGAGGAGTGGCAGAAGCAAAGGACCAGCAGCAGCAGAGAACCTGCAGCAGTAGAGAAGCAACAGCGGCAGAGAACCAAAAGCAGCAGAATCAGGAGACCAGTGCAAGATGGCACTGGAGCCAACCCACGGAGCAAGAGAGCTGAGTGCCTGTGCACAGGAGGCTTCCTGGCGGAGTGGGGTGCCTCCTGATACTTATTGGTGAAGCTAAGCTTGCAGACCCACGGAGCCAGAGAGTTGAGTGCCTGTGCGCATGAGGCTTCCTGGTGGAGTGGGGTGCCTCTGGGCAATTACCGGTGGAGCTACAGAGCTTTGGAACACTTGCCCCAGCAGGGCAGATGCGGGTGTGAGGCCCGAGGAGCCAAGAGGCTAAGAAACCAGGAAACAAGCTGAAGAGACAAGGTACACAAGAAGCTGAGCTGCCTCAGTCTCAAAAGGTATGGCCATGACCTCAGGGGTTTCAAACGGTGGAGCCATGGACTCTGGTGCTTCTAAGGGTGGAGTCGCCGCTCAGATGGACTGGGACAATGGTGTGCCTAAAGCTGAGCGAGCAGAGTTGCTGTCCCAGTGGGCCTGGAAGGTGGAGCTGAAACCCAGCGCCAAAGGGCCTCCACTCAGAATCTGGAGAGTGTGGCCAATACCTAGAGTCTGGAGGGCAGGGCCATTGTGTACATTGTCTCAGAGGACAGAAGATTATTTTCAAAGCCTTGAGGGCTAATGTAATGTGTTCTGCTGACTTGCTTCGTGCCTGTTATCCCTTCTTTCTCTCCAGTTTTTCCCATTCGTAATGGAAATGTCTAGCTTGTACCTATTCTGCCATTGTACCTTTGGAAGCAGATAGCTTGTATTCTAGATTTCACAGATGAAGAGGAATTTTTGGATTTTGGACTTGGAGTTAAGACTTTTGCTATGAAATGATGGGGTGAATATGTTTTCCATGTTGCAAGGATGTGATTTTTTGGGGGGCCAATGGGTGGAATGTCATGGACTGAATTATGTCCCCCCAAAAATATGTGTGTCAATTTGGCTTGGCCATGATTCCTGGTATTGTGTGATTTTCTTATCTGTTGTAAATCCTGCCTCTATGATATTAATGAGGGAGGATGGGTGGCAGCTGTGTTGGTAAGGCAGGACTCAATCTACAAGACTGGATTGTGTCCTGAAGCAATCTCTTGAGATGTAAAAGAGAGAAGTGAGCAGAGAGACAGGGGGACCTCATACCACCAAGAAAGCAGTGCCAGGAGCAGAGTGTGTCCTTTGGACGAGGGGTCCCTGTGCTGAGAAGCTCCTAGTCCGGGGGAACATTGATGAGAAGGCTGACAGAGAGAGAATGTCTTCCCCTGGAGCTGATGCCCTGAATTTGGACTTTTAGCATACTCACTGTGAAGAAATAAATTTCTCTTTGTTAAAGCCATCCACTTGTGGTATTTCTGTTGTAGCAGCACTAGATGACTAAGACAGAGGCCTAGCCTCCAACACAGAGGAGAAAAACCTGTGAAAGGTTAGAACATGTGAAGTAGGCTGACCAGGTTTTCAACTGAAGGCTACAGACAACTAAAAAGGTAACAACTCACAAGAATCAATTCATATCTTTTGGGTGAATAGCTCCAGTTTCTTCTACAAACTTCTGTGCCTCAATTTTGTCATCTGTAAAATGCAGGTAATTTCATCAACCACACGGGGACATTATAAGTATTATGTGTGATGCTGTGTGTAAAAGATCCTTATGAAATACGAAGTGCTAGACTCATGTTACTGGTCCTTCCTAAGTCTCCACTAAGTCTTTCTACTTCGAATTCTAGCTCTGTCTTGCTCTGGCTCACTTGGCCACTGCTTTGGATCATGCAGGCTTAAAATGATTTGTCACATGGAAAGCTTTTTTCTTTAGTAAGTGACTAGAAGCATCGGTCTTGAGGTGCCTGAATTTCTATTACTGTACAGAACCTTGAAATTCCAACCAACTGATACAGTTGGGCCAAAGCAAGTGTTTTCTTTTTTGCAACTGTTTTGTTCATCAACTGATCAACTGAGCCATCAAATCTCTCAGAGGCATACGTCGACACACTAATTTATGGTGCATCTCTTTCTTCTATCCTTTGTCCCGAATGAAATATGGATTATCCCTTGTCATAGATTGAATTGTATCCCGCAAAACTGCCTGTCAACTTGGCTAGGTCATGATTCCCAGTATTGTGTGACTGTCTACCATTTTGTTATCTGATGTGATTTTCCTATGTGTTATAAATCCTATCACTATGGTGTAGTAAGATGGATTAACGGCAGTTATATTGATGAGATCTACAAAATGAGTGTCTTAAGCCAATCTCTTTTGAGATATAAAAGAGAGAAGTGAGCAGAGAGACATGGGGACCTCATACCACCAAGAAAGCAGTGCTGGCAGCAGAACACGTCCTTCGGACCTGAGGTTACTGCGCTGAGATTCTCCCAGAACAAGGGAAGACTGATGCATCACAAGGACTTTCCTCCAGAGCCGACAGAGAGAGAAAGCCTTCCCCTGGAGCTGACACCCTGAATCTGCATTTCTAGACTACTAGACTGTGAGAAAACAAACTTCTCTTTGTTAAAGCCATCCACTTGCGGTATTTCTGTTATAGCAGCACTAGATGACCAAGACATCCCTTAAAACACATCACCTACTACATTCCCTCAAAAAAAGCCTCCACTTCTCCTGCTTGGTCTTCATCTAGACTTACTGAGTAGGGAAAGGGAAGAGAGAGAAGACTTCAGGATGCCAATCTTATCATCTTTATTGTTTCTTGACAATGGAATTCCACATTATCCTTCACAATACCTCTTTACTTTCTTCAATCGCTGCTACTATTACCAAGCCCTTCCAAATAACCATTTCCTGCTCCCTGGATGACAATCTTCTTTTCACCTCACTTTTCCCAACCCATAACATAAGCTAAAGGCTGACTACTAGCCACACTACTCATCTGAGGTACCACTGGCCGTATTTGGCTCTTCATCTCCAAGTTTACCTCCCATTAGACATACTTGGTCATTTGAACAGAACAAGGGGATACTGCATGGTTTAAAATCAGGTAAGGTGTGGGTCAGGGTTGTATCCTTTCACCACACTTATTCAGTCTATATGCTGAGCAAATAATTCGAGAAACTGGACTATGTGAAGAAGAACACCGCACCGGAGCTAGAGAAAGACTCATTAACAACCTGCGTTATGCAGATCACACAACCTTGCTTGCTCAAAGTGAAGAGGACTCGAAGCACTTACTGATGAAGATCAAAGACTACAGACTTCGGTATGGATTACACCTCAACATGAAAACAAAAATCCTCTACTGGAACATTAATATCATGATAAATGGAGAAAACATTGAAGTTGTAAAGGATTTCATTTCACTTGGATCCACAATCAATGCTCATGGAAGCTGTCAAGAAATCAAATGATGTACTGCATTGGTCAAATTTGTTGCAAAAGACTTTAAAGTATTAAAAAGCAAAGATGTCGCTTTGAGGACTAAGGTGCGCCTGACACAAGCCATGGTATTTTCAATTGCCTCGTAAGCATAAGAAAGCTGAACAATGAATAAGGAAGATGGAATTGATGCCTTTGAATGAAGTATGATGTTGATGAAGAATACTGAATACATCATGGACTGCCAGAAGAATGAACAAATCTGTCTTGGAAGAAGTACAAACAGCCTCAGGATTACAAACGACATCTGTTCCTAACTGTGTCTTTAACTTGAATTTGTAAGTAAATCAAAACATGTGCATAAGGTTCTTATTTAGCCCTACTTTAGTGCAAGAAAAGGCTCAAAGCCTTTTCAACGATTTAAAAGGTGCACATGAAGTGAGTGAAGGTGATTGTGATGAAGAATTTGTTGCCAGGAGGGGTTGGTTCAATCATTTCAATGTAAGGGCAAATTTACCTAACATTAGAGGGCAAGTATGAGTTGTCCGTAAATTGGTAACCCAGGGACTTACTGTGCAGTCAGAATGCTCCTTAGAAGGGATGATGGCTAGACTTTGTCTCACGTACTTTGCACACATTATCAGGAGGGACCAGTCCCTTGAGAAGGACATCATGCTTGGTAAAGTAGTGGGTCAGTGAAAAAGAGGAAGACCCTCAGCGAGATGGATTGACACAGTGGCTGCAACAGTGGGCTCAAACTAGGAATGATTTATGAGGATGGCGCAGGACAGGGCAGTATTTTGTTCTCTCGTACACAGGGTCACTATGAGTCGGAAGCTACTCACTGACACCTAACAACAACAACAACACAGACGCCCAGCCAATGGGGAAAGTAGGGGCCGAAATCCAGCTCAGGCTCCTTGCCAAGCCACGTGGTTGAATCTATTTTGAAGAAAGGTTGCCTTTTTCTACTTGGACTGCTCGGTAGAGGCACCTTTTTACAATTTATACAAAGGCACAATATAGGCTAGCTGTGGCACTGATCCTCTCTTGACTTCTAGAAATGCTCCTTTGCTTATTCCTGCTTTCTTAAACCAGATGCTCTTGGCTAGCACTCTCTTTGGCAAAATCAACCTGTCGTAAACAAAACCGGTAACTTCTCTGCCAAAGCCTGTTCTCCTTTTGGTATTCCTATCAAAGTAAATGGCACTACCATCCATCCAACCCAGTCACACAAGCCAGAAACTTGGAAGCAGTTCTTGATTCCTCTTTTTTATTCCCCAGGATACGATAGTCACTGAGTCCTGCTGATTCCAACTCCTAGATATCTCTTGAATCTATCTCCACCTCTCCATGCTCACCATCCTTCTTGCTTTGAACCTCATTCAAAAACCTCTTAACTGATCTCTCTGATCAAAATACACTGCCAGAATGTTTCTAAAATAAAAACTTGTTAATGTTATTTCTCTGCTTTAAGTTCCACATTAGTCTCTCATTTCCAAGCAAAACAAAAAATTCAAACACCTTTCCAAAGCAAAGTCCTCCGTGAACCAGTTACTCCCTATCCCTCCAGCCTCATCATGCATTCTCATGTCCCTGTGCTTTTGTGCCTTTGCACGTGCTAATCCCATTTTCTTGGAGATCCTGCCCCCACCCTGTCCCATCCTTCTGACTATCTTCATTATCCTTCGAGCACCAGCACCTAGCATAGGGCTTTACACAGAGTAGATGCTCAACAAATGTTTGTTAGACGATTGACAGAAAAAAACGGGTGAGTGGATGGAAGGAATGTCACCCCACCTCCCCCATGAGGCCTTCCCTGACTCTGTGAGGCAGAGTGTCCTGTGACAGTTTCTTGTATCTACATAGCTCAAAATCAACAGTTATTACACTATTATATAATAACTACCTACTTACATATCAATTCTGCAATTAGACTGTGAATTCCTTAATGGCCGGTATTGTGCTTTGCTTATCCTTAACTCTTAGTGTGCAGCCCAGTGCCTAGTATACAGTAGGCACTTAGTGTTTGTTAAAAGAAAGAATAATTGAAATACTACATATCAAAAACTGTGGGATGCAGCCAAAGTAGTACTTATTTATGTTATTGTACTTTAGATGAAGGTGTACAGAACTAGCTTCTCATTAAACAGTTAGTACACCTATTGTTTTATGACATTAGTTAACAACCCCATGATATGTCAACACTCTCCCTTCTTGACCTTGGGTTCTCTACTACCAGCTTTATCATCCCCTCCTGCCTTCTAGTGCTTGCCCCTTGGCTGGTGTGGCCATTTCATCTTGTTTTGATTTATGGGCCTGTCTAATCTTTGGCTGAAGGGTGAACCTCAGGAGTGACTTCATTACTGAGCTAAAAGGGGGTCCGGGGGCCATACTCTCAGGGTTTCTCCAGTCTCTGTCAGGCCAGTAAGTCCGGTCTTTTTTTGTGAGTTAGAATTTTGTTCCACATTTTTCTCCAGCTCTGTCTGGGACCCTCCATTGTGATCCCTGTTAGAGCAGTCAGTGGTGGCAGCGGGACACCATCTAGTTGTACTGGACTCAGTCTGGTGGAGGCCATGGTAGTTGTGGTCCATTAGTTCTCTGGACTAATCTTTCCCTTGTATCTTTAGTTTTCTTCATTCTCCCTTGCTCCCAAAGGGGTGAGACCTGTGGAGTATCTTAGATAGCTGCTCACAGGCTTTTAAGACCCCAGATGCAAAGCAGTATTTAGAGGGAAATGATAGTTTTAAATGAACATATGAGAAAAGAAAAAAGCTGAGCTTTCTTCTGAAAATTAATGAACTAAGCATCTATTTCAGGAAGTTAGAAAAGCAAAATAAACTCAAAGAAAACAGAAGAAAGGAAATAAAAAAGGAAAGACAAATGAAATGTATAAGCCTTGGCAAGACTGATAAAGATTGATAAAGAAAAAAAGAGAGAAGGCACTCATAACAATAAAAGAAATAAAAAAGGGGATATCACTACATATCCTGCACACACTAAAAATGTAAGAGGATATTATGAATAACTATACTCTCATTTGATGAATTCCCTTCTTTATCATCCAATCTCTTGCCTACCTCTATACACTAGGGAAATTGCTCTCGAGTCACCAGTGCCAAAATTCGAAGACTTTTTCTCATTCCTCAACCCTCCGGATCTCCATGTACCACCAACCACCCATCCCATCTTAAAATTTCCTTCTCATTGCATTCTCTTAGGCTCTCTTCTTCCTCTTCTATTTCCATTACTGATTCATCTTCCTCCCACTCCAACCCTACTCCTCAATGGTGGATTCCAAAAACCAATACAGTACTTTTCTCCCATCTTCTCTTTTTCTGTTCACTCTCCTAGGAAGCTCCTTTAGCATGGCTTTAGTCATTTCAGTATAGGTACTTTGCAAACTAACGTCTCTGGTTCCGACCTTTCACTACAAGGTCTACAGGAGAAAAAGACATTGTAAAGAAAAGAACAGAATGCCAAGATTAAAGAATAACTGATTACAATCATCAGGGTGCCATAGTACGCTGGTTCTGTTTTAAATTTGCTACAGAAATACATCTTGGTATTTTTGTTTATCTCTTATACTTATAATCAGTTCATCTTAATATACAAAAGTTTAATCTAGAGCCTATGTCTCACAGGGATCCATGCCTGGGGATTACCAAACTGAAAAGGCTGGGTTCCATATGTAATGGTTTATTGTTTACCTGGTGAAAGCCATTAAAACTGCCATCACAGCTTCTAGGAAGTATAAATGGACTTTTTTGAAAATCTAATGAAATCCAGTCCATCTCCCCCAAAAAGTAAACAATTAATAGAATTTTGCATGTATACTTAGTTTCATGGACCTCACTTAAGAAAGCTTTGCTGTCAGAGCCATACTACCTACTGTTGAATAGAATTATACACTCATTCTCAACTTGTTCCCTAACTCTAAATAGCTTTCCTTCTATTTTAATATAAAATCTGTGCCCTATAAAAATGTGTATGTAAAGCAGTAACTATAGAAGATTTGATAAATAGGACATAATCAAAAATTAAAACTTCATCCTCTTCAAAAGACATTGTTTAGTATGGAGTATGATGAGGGACCAGCACAGACTGGGAGAAAATATTTGCAGTACAAACATTTGACAAAAAGACTTGTATTCAGAATATCTAAATGTTATGGATTGAATTGTGTCCCCCAAAAATGTGTCAACTTGGGTAGGCCATGATTCCCAGTACTGTATGGTTGCCACCGTTTTGTGAAATGATGTGATTATCCTATGTGCTGTAAATCCTAACCTCTATGATGTTAATGAGTCAGGACTCAATCTACAGGATTAGGTTGTATCTTAAGTCAATTTCTTTTGAGATATAAAAGAAAGAAGCGAGCAGAGAGGAGAGGGACCTCATATTACCAAGCAAGAAGAGCTGGGAGTGGAGCATGCCCTTTGGACCTGAGGTCCCTGTGCTGAGAAGCTCCTAGACCGTGAGAAGATCAATGACAACAACCTTCCCCCAGAGCCAACACAGAGAGAAAGCTTTCCCCTGGAGCTAGTGCCCTGAATTTTGGACTTCTAGCCTCCTAGACTGTGAGAGAATAATCTCTGTTTGTTAAAGCCATCCACTTGTGGTATTTCTGTTATAGCAGCACTAGATAACTAAGACAATAAAAAATTAATAAGAAGATAAACAACCCAAATAAAAATGGGCAAAATGTACATCTAAAGTAACTTAAAGAGAAAATAACAGTATACTTATAGGATTACTCTGAATCTGAAAAGACTATAACAAGCTGATCCTGAAGAGTGCCACTATAGATCCTTGATCTGGATATGGGCAGAATGAGAGATGATACCAGAATATCAGTAATGGTTAAAATGATCAGAATAGCTATTAACAGATAAATTATAACAATTTTGGCAACGGTGTGTTAGAAAGTGATCATTCAAACAAAAGGGCTGTTGAAAAGATGGAGTTAAATGAGATAGAAGGCCTGAGGGTACATACAAGTTTTCTGTTTCTGACCAAATGATAAAACAAGGACTTCACTGATTACAGGACACTGCTTTGCTGAGGATTTTCTGCACATTTCCCCAAGAAACAAGAAAAAGTACCCCAGTGGTACATGTTTCTATTAAAACAATTGGAACACTCCATCATGACTAGATATGTGAATCCAACAGGAAGCCATCAAACTGCCAAACAGAGAGTAGATAAAGCACAGATTCTCCGCATACACAGGGGACTCGAGCAACCCCACCACCTCCCAGATTCTTCTGTTCAAATGACCCATGGAAAATGAGTGAAAAGATTTTAGCCATAAATGCAACCTTCTTCTGTCCACTGATAAGTTTCTCCTCGGGGAGGGGGGACGAAAACAAAAACACAACACCATACAAATGCTCACAGTTGAGGCAGTGACATGAATCAAAAGATAACTTTGTACTGGGCAACAGGACCTAGCTAAGAATATTGAGTTATGGACCTATTTCCTTAAGTTAATAAAGAGAAGTTGAACCAATAGTAGTCAACTCTATGGCACCTAACAATAAAGTGGAGATAAAATGAGTATAATAAATGACTACCTCCTAGAGTCATTGCAAGCATTCCTCTGCCCGTCTTAAGAGGCCATAAACCAATGAGAGCTAAGCCTTGGCTTCTGATGGGATAGTCTTAGGAGAGAGACAGAGCAATGAAAATCTTGTTTGGCTGCAATGGGCAGAAGGTGGGAGATGTACTATAGAGTTCTGAGCCCAGGACACAGATTGGGCTCCTCTGATTGGCACTGGATTCATGTGGAACCACTCAATAGCACTAAGCCATCCACTTTAGGATGATGTCCTAAGAACTGACCTACGCTCTGGTTCTCTCTGGGATAGGAAAGATAGTGCAGCTGAGTCACAATCCAGGAGGAACCACCAACATTCAACTCATCTATTGAACAGCGTTTATTGAGCACCAACTCTTTACATGCTCTGTGCTAAGCATAAAAAATAATAAAACAGTTTCAGTCTCTATGTTCTGGGAGCATGTCTTGAAAGAGGAAGACAGACAATAAGCAAATTGCTACCTGGTATCTAGGTGATTATAAGTGGGATAAATGCTACACAGCTCCAGCTGATAGTTGCCAAATAGCAATGTGGCAAAAGCAATGGAGAAGGCTAGAGGGCCAGAGCTGACTATGAATGACCTCCATTCCATTTTGATTAGAACTAAAGGGTCTGAATAGGGCTCAAATAGGAAGGTCAGACCAGGGAAGCCTTGCTCACACCACCAAAGGGGAGAAATACATGTCCTTCCAGGAATGACCGATCAAGTCTTCAGATACTGAGTCATGACCTCCTTGGTGGTAGGGCCTACTCACAACTCAACAAAAGGGGATACACAAACACATATATAATCCCCATGAATGTCATATACTAATGCACAAACCATAAACACTGTCCCTTTCTCTCTCTCACGCACTAACCCATGCTCCTCTATATATACACAACACACCATCACAACCATAAGCCACACTCCCAGCCTCACATCATTGGGTATATACACACCTCACGTGAATACATACATACAGGCCACCATACCAGGCTGGCTGCTGCTCCACTCCTCACTCTCTGGGGTGCCAGTGGTGGGTTGTCCCTCTGGATGCCTCTCTTCTTCTTGCTTCTCCTGCAGAAAGGAAGGTTGATCTCAGCTTCCTGCCCTTGTAGGCTGAAGTGAAGCCCTGGTCTGATTCTGGCTCCTGCCTGGCTGTCTGGCCATATGGTGTTCTGCCCAAAGGGGTGGAATTTCTTCTCGGTCAATGGCAGGAACACAGCTGCAGGAGACAATGCCCTAACACCTTGGCCCAGACTCACATAAACACACACCCCCTAGTTACACAGTCTGCCTACAACTCTCCTCACTCCCAGGTGGGCAAACTGAGAACACAAACACCTGCCCTATGCTGATTTTACTTGCCCACTAGAACCTTCATGTACTATCTCCTCCAGCCCTTCTGCAGCTAGAGCCTGTGATCCCTGGCTTCTGGGCTCCAGTGATGAAGCTTTCCACCTGCCTGCATATCTACCTTGGGTGCCAGCTCCCGTGAATGTGGCTTAGCTCTGACACGAGACTGAGATGGGAATGCTCAAAAAGCAGGGAAGTGATTTATTCCTTTTCCTCCAACCAGGAACAGGACTTGACTCAGGATGGGCCCCCAAAATAAGATGAATGAGTCACTACAGTTGTCTTCTCTGGCCCTGTCCCTCAGATGACCTGGACTGATGGAGGGAGCAGTGGGAATTGAGGCATATCCTATGGCCGCCCCCCCCCCCTCATTGCCCTCTTCCTACCATGACCTCTGTCTCCGACTCCTCCTCTGATGGGCTCTGGTATTCCCTGCACTTCCGCTTCTTCATAGGTTTGAGTAGTTCAGAAGCCTTGGTGCAGCCTGAGGAGTTCTCCACGATGACTGACCTGAGGGAGGGGCAGCCTGAGAGAAAGAACAACTGCCCGGGACCACTCAGCCCCTCTCTTAAGCCCTGAACAGGAATGAGGCTTTGGGGAACTAAAGGGAGGGCAAGTAGGGCCGCAATCCGCTCCCCCTTACCGCTCCTGGAACAGCCGGGGGCAACCATCATTGGAGGAACCAAGGTCTGGGCCGGGGCCTCCCTGAGGCCCGCACGCCTGGCACTGACAGGTGGCATCATCCTCTGGGGGGTCCTGAGAGGTAACTTCTGGAGGGTCCTGAGGGAGGTCCGCTGTGGAGGCCAAAGAGACCTCAGGCCTCCCACACATCAAAACCACACCTCGGAGCCACGCCCCCTCAGTTTCTGCCTCCACCTTGGTCCCACCTCCTCGGGTTCCGAGCCGAGCCCGAACTGGCCGCCACAGCCTTCCCCACTTCAAGACCAACCCCCAAGACACACCTGCAGGAACACCTCCAGCCCCGCCCCCTCGAGCCCGGCTCCCTGCCCGAGGCTTCTCAGGGAGCGCGTGGGGGTCCAGCTCAGGACCTGGGGAGAGGAGCTCCTACCCGGCTGTTGGGTGCCCGCCTCGCCACCTCTCGCCGAGGCCTCGCCATCTTCGTATTCGGTCACGCCTTCCCGCCGCAGCTCGGGGCTCGGTGGCTGCTCCGCTCCCACCATGGTCAGTGGCGCGTACTCGCTTATCCGAAACTGGAGCGCGGGAGCGTCTGAGGACCATAACTCCTGGACCTGGCCTGGACCCACCTCGGAGCCGACACGGTCTCCCTCTCGCGGCCTCACTCCAAGCCACACCCCCAGGGTCCCGGAGGCTTCGGTCCCTGAGCGCTTCACTCCAAGTCCCGCCCCTAGAGCGCCGCAGACCCCATTCCCCAACCACGTCCTTACGGTCCCAAGTGCCAGGTCCCCAGAGCACCTCACTCCAAGTCATGCCCCCAACAGCCTTCAAGCCTTCGCTCCTGGGCACCCCACCCAAAGCCACGCCCCAAACCACACCCTCGGGGCCTCCAGTGCCTGGTACCCCATAGCGTCTCAGGTCCTCACCCCTAAGCCACGCCCCTAGAGCCCCTGCCTCAAAACCCCACTCCCCAGGATCCCCGCCTCAGCCAGCTTTCCCGCTCCACCTCAGGCCCCGCCCCGTAGATGCAGCTCAAGGGACCTCGCCCATTCCCGCAGACACTGACCCGCAGACCACTCCCAGGAGGCGGGACCGCAGGCTCGGTCCACTCCAGTAGCCGCACCGTGCTGGCGCTGGAGCTGGTTGCTGGCCCCGCACTTAGCTGAGGCAGCACGGTGGCCGTGACCTGTTCGCTGCCGGCCGCCCGCTCCAGGGCGCCCACATGGATTGACTCTCGAGGGAAGCAGGACACATCCAGGGCATTGCTGGGCAGGCTGAGGGTGGCTGCAGATACATGGGCAGACATGACACAGGTGAGCCTGGTGGCCTTGCCCCAATCCTGCCATACATGTCTGGGCAGGTGAAGAGTCATCCCCTCCCCAGGATCCACACCTGCTTGAGCAAGTATGGGGATGCTCCTCCTCCCTAGACCCCTGGCTTAGCCCACCTGGGATAATGAAGGCAGTAGCTGTCAGGTGAGAGCCGGAACCCGGGCTGTCTCTGGCCACCAAGTGGACGCTTACTTCCCCTGTGGAGGGCCCCTTCAGCGTCCTCAGCATCTCCATTTCATTATGCCCCTCCATCCTGGATGGCCTACAAGCCAAACACATCCCCAGGCAGATCAGAAAGAGTAGAAGGGGGGTTTCTTTGAGGGGGAGCTGCCCACCCCCAGGCCAGCAACCTGCAGAGAAAGGCCTCAGCCCTGAGGGGGTAGGGTGTCTCAGGACACCAGCATCAGGTCTGGCTCCTGGTCACTGGGAGGTCTCCAGCCAGGTGCTGCACCTCTCTCCCACCCTCCTCTGTAAGATGGTTGCAATGGTATGTATGAGGGTGCTTTGTAAACCGGGATGTACAGAACTCACTCTAGGGAGCATGGCTCAGGACAAGGTTCTGTCTGGCCAGCCGTCCTCATGACACAGCCCAGGCCAAGTTCAAATTCACCTCCTTCTGGATCCCCACCCCCACTAGAATCATTTCCTTCTCCCTGTGGGGATTCAGAGCCTTTCAAGTACCAGGTTCTCCCCCACCTGTGCAGATTTCATCTTCATGGGAGGTGGGATCTTTTTCTGATCATATTCTTTTATGCTCTTTGCCCACCACTCCCTCCAACACCAAGCAGGCACTCAAAGATCTATTGAACAAATGCATGCATTTGAAGGACAAAGAGGTAGTGTATGAGAACCCAGGCATTACATGATTTTACTTTATTAAAGCAGGGACAGTAGAGGCATTTAATAGAGTTGGTTGAACAGGTTAATATATGGAAAAAATGGCCTAATTACATCTCAAATACATTTAATATCTACCATTCACTCAGCTCCTAAAACGTGTCAGCCAATGTGCCAGATGCCTCACCAGCACTGTCCAAAAGAATTTTCTGTGATGATGGAAATGTTCTATGCCTGTGCTGTCCAATACAGTAGCCACTAGCCACACGTAGCTACTGAGAACTTAAAATGTGGCTAGTATGACTGAGGAACTGAATTTTAATTTTTATTAAACTTAAATAGCCATAGTGGCCAGTGGCTACTGTATTGGATAACACAGCTTTATACTTATTATAATTGGCCTGTTGGCTCCATCTTCAAAACACATCTGTCTGACCTCTTCTCTCCATCTCCACAGCCACCAGGCTAGTCCCAACCACTATCAGCTCTCCCTGGACTTCTGATATTGCCTCCTAACTTATCTCCCTCTTCCTCTTCTGCCCTCCTATAGTCTATTCTCCAGTTATAGAGAGCTTCAAAAACATAAACCAAATCACATCATTTCCCAATTTAATCCATTATTAAAAATTCTTCAATGGCTCTGCATTGCCAGTAGAACGAAATCAAAAATGCTTTACCCTACAGAATCTGACCCGTCTTCCTCTCTGACCTCACCCTCCAGGGACTCTGGTTGCCTTCTATTGCTTGACCAGCAATCCCACCTCAGAGCCTTTGCCCTTGCTGTTCCCTCTGCCTGGAATGCTCTTCCCCAAACTCTCTGCTTGGCTGGCTCTTTCCCATCATCTAGGCTCAGCTCAATGGCCACCTCCTCAGAGAGGTCTTTCTTGACCATTAATTTAAAGCAACACACCCCCCACTACACCTCACCACTGTCTATCTCATTACTGTGTTTATTTCCTTCACATCCTGTACCATGATCAATAATGATCTTCATTTATCTGTTTCTGTGTTTGTCGGTCATCTCCACATAAATGTAAGTTCCATGAGAGCAAAGACCTTATCTGTCCTGTTCACTGCCAGCACCTAGAACGCTGCCTGGCATACAGTAGGTGTTCAATAAATATTTGTGTTGGATTTCAGTAATTCAGACTTAAAAAAAGTTTGCCAAATGACCCATATCCTAAGAAAACCAAAATCCCGCTCTCAACACCCTCCCCTCCATTACTAAAAAGCACTGTATAAGTGACTGATACTTGGTTGCTTGAAAGTGTTAGCAGCTCTTGACAATGACTTCTGGCGTACAGGTTAAAGAAAAGAACATGGGCCTAGGCTTACAGCAGACATGAGTTTGAATCTCAGCTCCCCACTTAATACCTGTGTGACTCTGAGCAGGTAGTTTACCATCTCTGAGCCTCAGCTTCCTTATGTATAACATAGAGGAGGTACTCTTGCACTCTCTCGCCTTCCCCTCTGTTTTCTTACGGTATTCATTTATTGTTACATTCCACCACGATCTAACCATGCACTTACCTGAGGCTGCAAGTACCTTGCAGACCTGTGGCCAAAGCATCTGGCATGCAAAGAGCCTGGTGTAGAGACTGCACTCAACTGACACTCAATGAATGAATCAGACAGGTGAGAGCAAAGGATGGTCAATAATGTAAGGAGAAGACACAAATGGTATTGAATGCTGTAAGTGGCTTAGCCATGTTTGCCTTTGGGGCACGAATACTATTCTCTCCTGTTCAGAGGCTGGGGGCAAGAGGGGATAAAGTGGGAGGTCCCCCCCACTAATGGGGAGGTTGTCAACTGCAGCCCTCCGTCAGTGTTCCCTGCTCTCTTGGAATTGCCCGCAGCCAGGAGAGTTGCCCCGCCCTAGTGCCCTCTTCTGGGGGCAACCATCCAACGACTAGTTGATACGGGGTGCAAAGGCCCCGCCCCCTGGCCTCAATATGGGACATCTGAACGGCCATCAAGGAGCCCTGGTGGTGCAGTAGTTAAAGCATTTGGTTGCTAACCAAGAGGTTGGCGGTTCAAACCCTAGTAGTGCAGTGGTTAAGCGCTCGGCTGCTAACCAGAAGGTCTGCAGTTGAACCCACCAGCCGCTCCTTGGGAGAAACATGCGGCAGTCTGCTGTCGTAAAGATTACAGCCTTGGAAACCCAATGGGGCAGTTCTACTCTGTCCTATAAGGTCGCTATAAGTCAGAACCGACTCCACGGCAAGGGGTTGGTTGGTACCGGAAAAGCCGCCATCCCGGCTCCAGAACTCCTCCTGGGGCAGGCTGAGGCCTCTGTTGAGGCTACACTGGCAGTTCAACTTCTCCCTCTGCCCACCCCTGCTGTCTTCACTCCCCTACAGGTGACATTCCCGAGGGCACTTTCCAACAAACATCCTACAGTCAATCTCCCACTCAGAGTCTTTCCAGGCAACCCGACCTAAAACTACCACTGTATGCTCAGCACCGTGTCTGGCACACAGTAGGTGCTCAATAAATATTTCTTGAATGGGTACAGCCATGTTTATTTTATCGTAGTCTGCCAAGGTTCCCCCCCCCCGCCCCCATCCCGTGCGCCTCAAAGCCTTGTACACAACTGATGCCTAATAAATATGCCCTTCCTTTAGATTCTGGGTGGAGAGGTAGCGCCCCAGACAGATACTCCGGCAACTCCAACACACGCACAGCCGCTGTGAGACTGAGCGCCACAAACTTGGGGCCTCGGCCCCGCCCCCACCCCCACGCCCGCCGCAGAGGAGTTGGAGGATCCAGATCCGCCGCCAGCCTTCGGGAGTCCTCCCGACACTGGCACACACCTGGGCGGGCGGGGTGGCCACTGATCCGTCAGCTCCGCAAAGCGGTTACTTTTTAAAACGCCAAAATGGCGGAATTTTTTTAATCTTTCCCTTTATGGGGGGGAAAAAAAATCTCATTTTTCGTTATAAAAATAAACATAGGAAAGAAAAAGTTTGCCAAATGACCCACTTCCTAAGGAAACCAAAATTCCGCCCTCGACACCCTCCCTTCCATTAATGAAAAACTCTTAATTGATTGCATTTCTCTTAAAAAAAAAAAAAAAAAAGAAAGAAAGAAACGAAGCCTCCTCCCTCTCCACCCCTTCAGATCGCGGCCAGCAGCAACTCGGCCAGATCCACTCGCCGGGAGCCTCGCACCCGCCCGGCCCCCTTCGCGCTCCGCCCATACCCCTCCACTACGGTCTTCTCGAACATCTTACCCGCGGGAGGCGCTCGGAAGGAGGGAGGCACCGGGACCAAGGACTCTAGCACTCGCCACGCTGGGCGGGGCCGGGTGGCGCGGCGTTCGGGCCGGAGATCCGAGCCCACTCGTCCCCGGATCCTTACCTGCAAGGCCAGTCCGTGGCCGCCCAGCGCTGAGGAGTCGTCCGAGCCCTGCACGGCGCGCGCCTGCGCGCATAGGGGGGCGGGCCTGCCTCCCTGCAGGACGCATAGGCGCGGAGCTGGCATGCAGAGCATATTTGGGGGTCGCAGGCCTGGGAGTCCTGCGGCGCCTGCGTCCCCTCGCCTTCCTATCAGGCCAAGGCCGCGTGGGCCCAATTCCCGACCTACCCCTGGGGTCGGTTTGCTCCGCTGGCAAGGCAGATCGAGATTGTTCTTGCCCTTTACCCCTTGCATCACAGCCAGCAGCGCAGTGAGGCGCGGGAACCACCGAGGCTGGAGAGAGATCCCCACGGGACCCTATCCCTCGCGAGCTGAGTGGTGGATGACTAAAGACGGGGCTTGCACCCCCGTACGCGCCCCAGCTAGGTGGTTGCGCCGCCCAGCGCCTTCCCACCGCCCCTGGCCCCACCTGGAAAAGGAGAGCTAAGAAGGGTTAGAAACCAGCTTCAGAAAGGGTGAAGAGCACGTGCGACCAGAGGAAACCAGGACCAGCGCGGCGTAGGTTCTGGTCCTGGCCCTTCTGGCATAAAGGGCGGCATTAGCCACGCCTTGGTTCCGAGACGCCGCTACCACTAGCTGGTGGTGGGACCTGGGCTTATCATTTCATTCTCCTGGTTCTCCGTTTGTAAAGTGGGAGTGACTTTCACTCGCTTCATGGCAGATGGCTTGTTTTTAGTAATGGCTCCTATTGTGGTGTTGTCTTGAGCAAGTCTCTGGTACCTTGTGCTTCAATGTCCTCAGTTGATCTCACTGCCTCGACATGGCTTTCTGAGTACCTAAATCTCCTTGTTACTTGTTCTTCCGCACAACATACTCCTCTCTTTATTACACACATCACAGCTGTACCTTTACATGGATTTGTGTAATTCAAAAGGTTAAGAGACTGCAAGCTCCAACAGGGAAGGACATTGGTTTTTGTGGGTTCTCAGTAAATATCTGTTGATTGACTAAATGATGTAATGCATGGAAATGAAAACAGGCCCACTCTTGATGCAGTCC